ACGGCGGCGAAAAGCTCGAAGGCCCCTGACGGCGTAAAAGAAGCTAGTTTCCTACAGCGTAGCTGTGCTTCGCGTGCGTCTTTCACGGGCTTTGGGTCGAGGACACCGTCTAGGTCCTAGGTACTCCATCACCATCACCGTTGCGAGTCTCTGCTCTGCAAACGGGGTGCCCAGCTCTTCCGAGTTTGCCCATTCCTGGATTTTCTTCCAGAGCCTCGGCAAGGATCGCTCCAACCCGCAGCGCCTTGCAGCCTTTGCTTGCTTAGGCTGTCGTTGCTCACCTGCCGGCGCCTCAGCTCGCTTGGGGCTAGCGGATGGACTTAGCAGCCCCCCTTCACCTAAACTCGTGGGGAGCGGCGGTGCCCTCACGGCGGTGTTGCCCTCGCTGACTGCTAGCGAACATGCCCACGTCCTCGCCAAGTTCGGCCAGAATCTCTTCGACATCCTGGAGTTCGGTCCAGGTCGCGTGCTGGCTCAAGAGTCTCGCGCGCGGCTGCCCCCTATTGGCTGGGCCGTCATGGGTTAGCTCAAACGGCTGCGATGGACCGTCGTCCTCGTACACTCGTTGGTCGTCGTTGCCTCTGTGAGGCGGCGCCGGGAGTACGACCACGCCGCTGCGTTGGGGCGGTGCTTCCCGCAACCTTAGTCCCCAACGTGGTTCCCATGAAACACCGGCCACGGTAACCGTGAGTGCAGCTTGGTTCTGGGCTGCCGCTGGCAAACGACGGATGGACTGCACAATCAAGGCACCAGCCTCGGTAGGACGATGTTGCTGTTGTCGCTTTCCAGTCGTCCTACCCAGAGTCCTTTTACCCAACGTTTCTGTGCTTTCGTTGCTGGGTTCGGCAGTTTTGCCACCACTGCCTCACCGAAAACGCAGATGAGCGAATGGTAGTCCACCCCAGGTATGCGGTTGCTTTGTCTGTGGCACGTACCTGGAAGCGCGCGGCTAGCCAAGCCACGTAGCGAACCAACCACGGAAAAAATACATGGCCACGCAATTCGGGCACCGGGTTTGCAAGTCCATTAGCCACGCGTGCACCAAGCTTGCTAGCTGGCTGTGCTCACAAGTGCCCATCCCCTTTTTTTCCAGCGTTAAGCTGCAGAGTCACCCGCTTGCCCCAGCGTGTTTAAGTACTGTTCCACAACATCCAGCACGTAGGCGCTGCTTTCTCTCCCTTTCCGTGGCACTTGATTACTCAGGGGGGGCCACGCGTGTCTCTCTCTACCAGCTTCAGGACAGTCACCAGCACAGACTCTCCTTCGACCTGGCGCTGGTTGGCGTGTTATCATGTGCTGCGCGTGCTGCTCAGCAGTCGGCTCCCAGCACTCTCTGGCTCAAGTTGAGCGGCAGCGGGCCCCGCTTCAAGGTGCACGGCTTCGGCATCTTGCTCTTCCTCGGCGGGCCTTTGCTCTGTCCTCAACGGCTGCTGCTGCTGCGGCGGCTGCCTCCCGCCCTGCCTCTTTACGGGCCCATTCCTCCACAGCTTTGGCCTCGGGGTCGTCAACTATCACATTGATAACTTCGGCCGCTACTGGTGCTACGGTGGCCCACTTGGCCTTTGCTAGTTCGGTGTCGGGCATTAGGAACTGGTTTCCTTGCCTAAAGAAGTCGGCTTGTTGCCCATCTTTCCACTCGATGTGTGAGCGCGGCTTGTAGAAAATCACTTTTGTACCCGCATCCACACTGAAAGGACGTCGTCGGTGATGCCCTCAACCACTGAGCACGCGCGTGCGCTCATCGGAGATGCGCCACACTCCTGGCTTGGTAGCGCTGGCAGCTCTCCCCGCTTGGGATGCGGAGGGGCCCGCAGAGAAGATTGACGCGTTGTCATCCGCCACTTGGTTTACGTTTCCTCCCTTTTTGGAGAGAGCGTGCGTTTGGGTCCCGAAATGAAAAGCA